CTGCTGCTACTGCTGCTACTACTGCTACTGCTGCTACTGGCGGTGGCCAGATGCAGCTCCAGCGACGTCCGCGCGAGTCTCTCACGCCCCGGCAGCTTCGTGAGTGGTACGCTAGTTGGGGTTGTGGCGGTAGTCGTCGTGGCTGTCGCCCTGGAGCTGGTCAGTCGGGAGCGTCTGGCAGTGGCCAGCTGTAGCTGCAGCGGCGTCCATGCGAGACACTTACCCCCCAGCAGCTTCGTGAGTGGTACGCTCAGATTAGAGGGTCTCGGAGTACCGTTCGCTTCGCACAGGTGATCGGGCTGGTAAGGCTTGCGGGACGCTTGGTCACACACAGTCCCACTGCTTCGCCCGTCTGAGCGACGCCTGGCGTACCGAGTTTGGCGACGAGGCTTAGCTCCCCACCTCGCTGGAGCTGCTTAGGCAGAGGGTAGATATCTTTGCTCTTGACTATGATGCTATTCTCACTACCATGTATGCATTGCCCACTAGTGCTGACGGTGCCTGATACCTGTGCGTACCGCCTGACCCAGGTATAGAGCCTGTTGCTCTAGGTGCTGGTGAGGCCGCTGCTCTAGGTGCTAGTGCGTCTCTTGCTCTAGGTGCTGGTGAGGCTGCTGCTCCAGGTGCTGGTGAGTCTGCTCTCTCTGGTACTGCGCCTGCTGAGGCCTTGTACACCTTCACACTTGACTCAGGTGCTTCCTGCTCCTTCTCTCGCGACAGCACCACCCTCACGCCACTCAGTCGGCTGGTTGCAGTCTCCCTGGCAGACCCCTCTTGGGGTCCAGTCCTTTCACACTCCTCCACGGTCCTACCGTGTCCAGCGGTCCCGTCTGGCTCCTGGTCAGGTCTTCACCTCCCCTCGTTCTCTACGAACTTGGTGAGTGGTGCTGACCTCCAATACCAGTGGGTTGACCAGTTCAATCCTGGAGGTCAGCGCGTGACCCACTGTACGTGCTCCCGGACGGGCCGGCTCCTGGCCACGTTTACCCGTGCGCCTGGCTCGAGTCTGTACACACTTACTACTATGTCCCCTCAGGTCGCTGCGTCTACGTCAGGTCAGTTAGCGGCCCCCTGCTCGTGTCGCGCTTTGTCGCACCAGACCCTCCTTTGGCACCACCGTCTTGGTCACCCCTCGGTGCAGCGCCTTCGTAGCATGCACCGCCGTGTCCTTGTCTCTGGTCTTCCCAGGGTTCTCCCTCCCCTCCCACCCTCGCCTGATCCTCCCTGTCTTCCCTGTGTCGAGGGGCAGCAGCGCGCCACTCCTCACTCCTCCTCGTTTCCCCCGACGACTGCTCCCCAGCAGACCCTGCACATGGATGTGTGGGGCCCAGCCCACGTCAGTGGGCAGGTTCGCGAGCGGTACTTCCTGCTGGTTGTTGACGACTACTCGCGTTACACCACGGTCTTCCCCTTGCGCACCAAGGGTGAGGTCCCTGATGTTTTGATCCCTTGGATCCGCGCTGCCCATCTCCAGCTCTGCGAGCGGTTCGGGACGGAGTTTCCCGTCCTACGTCTGCACTCTGACAGAGGTGGGGAGTTTTCCTCCGACCTTCTGCAGAGCTTTTGTCACGGGGAGGGCATTCGCCAGACGTTCACGCTTTTGGCCTCTCCGCAGCAGAATGGGGTTGCTGAGCGCCGCATTGGCTTGGTCATGGAGGTCGCTCGTACCTCCATGGTCCATGCGGCTGCCCCCCATTTTCTGTGGCCGTTTGCGGTCCGCTACGCCGCGCATCAGCTCAACCTCTGGCCCCGTGTCTCCTTGCCGGATACCTCGCCCACACTGCGGTGGACGGGGGAGGTTGGCGATGCGTCGGTGTTCCGGGTCTTGGGTTCTCGTGCCTTTGTCCGCGATACCACCGCGGACAAGCTCTCCACCCGCGCTGTTCCCTGTGTCTTCCTTGGCTTTGTCCCTGACGCGCCTGGTTGGCAGTTTTACCACCCCACCTCGCGCCGTGTCTTCCCCTCTTAGGACGTCATGTTCGACGAGTCGGTTCCCTTTTACCATCTCTTCCCCTACCGCACTGCCCTTCTCCCCCCCCCGCCGCTCTTCCTCGCTCCAGGTGCTCCCCAGGTAGACCCCCTCCCCGCTCCCGGTCCTGCTCCTTCAGGTGTGTCTCAGGTAGACCCTCCTCCCTTGACTGCGACGGTTGAGGTCACTAGTGACTCTGGTCCTGCTGAGGGTGGTCCTGCTCGGGGTGCTGGTTCTGGGGGTGGTGAGGCTGGGGGTGCGGAGCCTGGGGGTGCTGAGCCTGGTGGTGCGGAGCCTAGAGGTGCTGAGACTGGGCGTGAGGAGTCTGGGGGTGCTGAGTCTGGGGGTACTCAGTCTGGGGGTGCTGCACCTGGGGGCGCTGAGGCGTCTGGTGAGCAGTCTCCCTGGAGCGGCCGTCTCTGTAGTCGCTCCGCTGGTGCCTCGCCGCTGCACTCTTGTCGTCGTCTCCCTCTCTCCCCACAGCAACTGCGTGAGTGGTACGTTAGCCATCAGGGTCGAGCTGCTGGAGTTGGGGGCCCTGCTGCGGGAGGCGCTGGTGTTGGAGGCACTGGAGCCGGCGCTGTCCCTCTCTCCCCACAGCAGCTGCGTGAGTGGTACGTTAGCCATCAGGGTCACGCTGCTCGAGCTAGGGGCCCTGCTGCAGGAGGCGCTGGAGCTGGTGACTCTGCTACTGGAGTTTTTCTACTGGAGTTCTTGGAGCAGCTGGTCCTGGAGGTGCTCGTACTGGAGGTACTGGTGTTGCTGGGACTGGAGGTCCTGCTGGACCTAGAGGTGCTACTATCGACTCTGAGGTTGGAGGCCCTGGAGCTGGAGGTGCCGGTTCTGGGGGTGCTACTAATGGTGGCGCTAGAGCTGGAGGTTCTGGAGCTGCTGCGGGTGCTGGCACTGGAGGTTCTGGAGCTGTTTGAGGTGTTGGCGCTGGTGGCGTTGGAGCTGGAGGTTCTGGAGCTGCTGCGGGTGCTGGCGCTGGAGGTTTTGGAGTTGTTGGAGGTGCTGGTGCAGGTGGTGCTGGAGCTGGAGGTTTAGGAGCTGCTGCGGGTGCTGGCGCTGAAGGTTCTGGAGCTATTGGAGGTGCTGGCGCTGGTGGCGCTGGAGCTGGAGGTTCTGGAGCTGCTGCGGGTGCTGGCGCTAGAGGTTCTGGAGTTGCTAGGAACCTGGCGAAGCAGGAGGTGCTGAAGCTACTTGTGCCGGTGGCATTGCACCGCCGCGACTGTTCTTCGCTCCGCCGTCACCTTCGTCTCTGCAACCGCCTGGCTCCGTGCTTCGCCAGGTTCTTAGCCTCCCGTCTTCTACTGGTCTTCCATTACAGCCTGGCTCACCGCTACCTGCTCCTTCTCCTTACACTAAGCTGACAGGCGGTCTTGCTGAGCGTTGTGAGCCTGCGTTTCGTCCTGTCTCGCCTATTCGCACTATCCGCACTAGTCATACTGGTCGTCGTGTTCCTCATGAGCGTTAGCCGGCTGTCCCCGGCAGACACCTCATGGCCCTGCGTCCTTCCCCTGCCGTCCCCTCCTGTGTCTTCTCTGCATAACATTCCACAGCCTGAGTCTAACCGCGCTCGTGCTGCTCACCCTACTGTCATGCGTCTGCTAGCCACAGTTGTCACTAACCCGTCGTTTGAGTCTGCTGTTGCGTCTGCCTTAGTCGCTGAGCTTGTTGACTTTGCTGCTGCATCTCGTCTTGACTACGCCGCTAGTCTTGTTGCTGAGTCTGGGTCTGTCTGTCCTCCGTCCGTCGGGGGTGAGTGTGCTCTTGGCACGGACGTCTTTGAGGATAGGCAGGAGGACCTTGAGTGTCTTGCAGCCGCTGCGCCTCATCTCGTGTCCATGCTGCTTGCCCCTGAGGGAGACACGGATGCACCAGACATCCCGACTCCGCGTTCTTACACTGAGGCAATCGCGGGTCCCTACTCTGAGAAGATTGAAACGAGAATGAATGAACAATGAATGAACTGAGTACAAGTACTAACCCTAATTGGGTTGTACCCCTTATGGGCTACCCCACTATAGCCTACACAATAAGCACAAGCTATATGTTCTGACACACCCCCATAGGCAAAGTGGGGGAGAACAAGGGGTCACAAGACCAGTCAAGCAAAGCAAAGCAAGCTCAGGGTGGATCACAAAGTCACCACACAGTCTGAGCACAAGTTCAAGGCCACAAGGCCAGTTCACATGCATGAGTACCTATATATAAAGGACTAGACAAGCAAGAGCAGGTGTATATATATGCAACAGTAAAAGCAAGGTCAAGAGGTGAGCAAGTGAGGCAAGACAGGCACAAGACCCAGCTCCGTGCAGAAGCGCTGATGATCACAAGGCGCAAGTGCCTTGGTGAAGAAATCAGCAGTGTTGGCCTCAGAGGCCACGTACGCAAGCCGCAACTGACCACGCTGCTGTAGCTCACGAGCAAGGAAGTAGCGAAGAGCAATGTGCTTTGTTCTGTGCTCCAGTCTCTGCTCTCAACACAAGGCCAGCATGGCCTTGTTTTCTACGTACAGGACTGGAGGAGAACTAGGCGACTCTCCAAGGTCGGTCAGTAGGTAGGTGAGCCAGCGAAGCTCCTGAGCAGCCATGGCCCCGGCGTAGATCTCAGCCTCACAACTGGAGCCGAGAATAGAAGACGAGCGAGTAGCCCGCCACGAAACAAAGCCGGAACCAAGGCTGAAGGTGTAACCCTGTGACGACCGCTGCGTAGCCTGGTCGTCAGCCCAAGAAGCGTCCGCGTGCCCAGTGAGGACTACTGGACTCCGCCCTCCAAGCACTAGCCCCATGCCCGACGTACTGCACAAGTAGCGCAACACCCTCTTCGCTGCAGCCATGTGCTCAGGTCGGTGTCTCCCAGGAGTAACATAGCGTGCGAGAATGCTAAGAGGGTATGCAAGGTCAGGTCGTGTGCAGGTCATCAGGTACATGAGGCAGCCAACAAGCTCTGGATACGGGCCACTCGACTCTACGGACTCATCCGAAGGCAGAGCTGAGAGCGAGTGGCGAGTAGGCGGAGGAGTGGCCTAAGGCGAGGAGTACGTGAAGCCGAAGCACTGAAGGACTTGCTGCACCATGTGTGACTGAGTCAGGGTAATGGTGCGGCGTGCTCTGTCCCGGGTGATCTGCAAGCCAAGGTAGCTGCGCAGTTCACCCAGGTCTGTGCACGTGTGTCTCTTCAGCAGCTCGGACTTCACGTAGGCGAGTCCAGCAGTGTCAGCTGTGGCAAAGACCAAGTCGTCGACGTACACGAGGATGTAGAACGGCGGCAAAGAAGTGTCGGTGCGTAGAAACAGCGACGGGTCGGCAGTAGAGGGAGCAAACCCAAGAGCCGCAAGTGTAGTCCTCAGTGTGTCGTGCCACTCACGCGGTGCCTGGCGGAGACAGTAGACTGGCCGCCGGAGGCTCCACTGGGTGCCAGGAGGAAAAGTCCCAGTGAAGCCAGGTGGGCGGCGCAGCCAGATCTCCTCGTGCAGGCTGCCCTGCAAGAAAGCAGTGCTAAAGTCAAGAGAGTGAAGCTCGTAGTCGCGCTGGGCGGCTATGTGCAGCAGCACCCGAAGAGTGGTCATCTTCGGGGTGGGAGAGAAGGTCTGAAAGTAGTCAACTCCCTGCCGCTGACTGAAGCCACGAGCCACGTACCGCGCCTTGAAGACAGGCGGGGAACCTGGCGGCCGCTTCACCCTGAAAATCCACATGCCACTGACGATGTTCGCCCCAGGTGGGGGAACCTCGTCAACGTAGGTGCCTGTGGACTTCCAGGAAGCCATCTCTGCATCCATAGCTGCCTGCCACTGAGAGGAGTAGGGACCCTCTATCGCCTCCGCGTAAGAGCGCGGAGTCGGGATGTCAAGTGCATCCGGGTCTCCCTCAGGGGTAAGCAGTACGGACACGAGATGAGGTGAAGCAGCGGCCAAGCACTGGAACTCCTCCTGCTTGTCCTCAAGGACGTCCGTGCCAAGGGCACACTCACCCCCGACGGACGGAGGACATACAGACTCAGACTCAGCGACAAGACTAGCAGCGTAGTCTAGGCAACAGCGAGCAGCAAAGTCGACGAGCTCAGCAACTAGGGCAGACGCAGCAGTGGACTCGAAAGAAGGGTCAGTGACGACAGTAGCCAGGAGACGCGTGACAGTAGGAATGGCAGCACGAAGAGAGTCCGACTCCGGGTCGGCAAAAGCAGGAAGAGAGGACTCAGGAGGAGAAGGTAAAGGGGCACGCAGAGGAGCAGTGGACGGACGCAGAGACATCCTGTGCGTGCCAGGGACAGGAGGAGGACGCTGACGCGAACCACGACCACTAGCGCGAGCAGTACGGTCAGGCGACGCAAGGCGAGACGCAGGCTCAAGACGCTTAGTAAGACCTCTAGTAGGACCAGTGTAGGGAGAAGGAGTAGGCAAAGGGGAGGTAGGCTGCAACTGTAACTGTGACGGGACTGGCTGTGGACACCCTAAAGAAGGAGGAGGACCAGTAGAAGGCGGAAGACCAAGAACCTGCTGCAGGAGTGGAACGAAGTACGGTCGAGGCCGCGCGGCGACGCCAGACACAGCAGGTACAGTACCAGAACCCTCAGTAGGAGCACCCGCTCCAGCTGCTCCTCCAACAGCGCCAGAACCTCCAGCAGTACCAGGAGTACCCGCAGCAGGACCGCCAGCAGTAGTCTCAGCTCCAACACCCTCAGCAGCACCAGCTCGAGTCGAACCCGCAGGCCCAGCAGCTCCAGTACTCCCAGTACGAGCACCTCCGGGACCCGCTACAGCAGCACCCTCAGTAGCCGAAGAACCTCCAACACCAGCAGCACGCCTCCAGCGCCGGGCAAACCACTCGCGCAGCTCCCGTGGAGAGAGTGGCTCCCGCAGAGACGAAGCACCCGGAGAACCTCCAGGCGGAGCACCTCCAAGCTCAGCACCCCCAAGCTCAGCACACCCAGGCTCAGCACCCCCAGGCTCAGCACCCCCACGCTCAGCACCCCCAGGCGCAGCACCCCAAGACTCAGCACCCCCAGGCTCAGCACCCCCAGACTCAGCACACTCAGGCTCAGCACCCCCAGTCGCAGCACCCCCAGGCTCAGCACCCCCAGAGTCAGCACCCCCAGGCTCAGCACCCTCAGCAGCACCAGAGTCACCACTGACCTCGTCAGGCTCGACTGCGTCTACCTGGGACACACCTGAAGAAGACGGACCCTAAGGGGGGAGGGGGTCTACCTGAGGGGGACCTCGTACAAGGAAGAGCGGCGGCGGGGGGAGGGACGAATTGCGGTAGGGGAAGAGGCGGTAGTAGGGGACCGACTCGTCAAACGTGACGTCCTGGGAGGACAGAACACGGCAAGAGGTGGGGTGGTAGAACTGCCACCCAGGCGCGTAAGGGGGGAACCCCAGGAAGACGCAAAGAGCAGCACGAGGGGACAGCTTGTCCGCAGACAAGTCGCGGACAAACGCTCGAGATCCCCAGACCGAGAACGCCGACGCATCGCCAACCTTTCCCGTCCGCAACAAGGCTGGGGAGGTCTCCGGCCTGGAGACCCTGGGGTGTAGGTTGATCTGATGCACCGCGTACCTCACCGCAAACGGCCACAGAAAATGGGGAGCAGCCGCATGCATTATGGACGTACGGGCGACGTCCATGACCATGCCAATGCGGCGCTCAGCAATCCCATTTTGCTGCAGGGAGTCCGAAAGCGTGAAGGTCTGACGGATTCCTTGTGCATGACAGTAGGCTCTCAGAAGGCCAGAAGAAAACTCTCCGCCTCTGTCCGAGTGCAGACGCAGTATAGGAAAGTCCGAGCCAAAGCTCTGCCTGAGCTGGAGACGAGCTGCGCGGATCCAGTCGATCAGCACCTCAGTGACGTCACCCTTGCTGCGCAGGGGAATACTGCGGTGTAACGCGAGTAGTCGTCAACAACGAGCAGGAAGTAGCGCTCGTGACCCTGTCCACGGACGCGGGCTGGGCCCCACACGTCCATGTGAAGCGTCTGCAACGGGGCCTCTGTCGGAGGAAACTGGAAGGAGTGAGGGGCAGCCCGCTGGCGCCCCTCGACACAGGGGACACAGGTAGGGCCAGGGCCCTGAGGAAGGGGAGGGAGGGACCGAGGGAGACCAGAAACAAGAAGACGGGAGGCCATGACTCTGAGTCGAAGCAGAGAGGGGTGACCAAGGCGGTGGTGCCAGAGGAGAGTCTCGTGAGACAGGAGACGACACGAACAGGGGGCAGACTCAGGACCAGACCTGGACGCTGCAGCAAACGCTTGACCCGACGCAGCGACCCTACCAGACTCAACAACTGGAGGAGACGCAATGGTCAGTGTGTACAGGCTCGACCCCGGCAGACGGGTAAACGTAGCCAGGTGTCGGCCTATGCTAGCCTCTGTGCAGTGCGTCACCCGCTGACGCGTAGGAGTGAACTGGTGTACTCCCCCATCCTGTAGGTCAGCACCACTCACCAGGCTCATAGAGAACGAGGGGAGGTAGAGACCAGACAGGGTGCCAGAGGGAGCCGCCGGACACGGGAGGACTGTGGAGAAGTGAGACAAGACAGGACCCCCAGAGGGGTCAGCGAGAGATACCGCAACCGGCCGACTAAGCGGCGTAAGTGTGGTGCGGTCCCGAAAGAAGGAGCGAGAAGCCCCAGAGTCAAGGGTGAAGGTGAGGGAGGTCGAAGCCGACGTAGTACCTGAGAGCGCAGACTCACCAGTACCTGAGGACGCAGACCCACTAGCACCTAGAGCAGCAGCGTCGCAAGCACCTAGGGCAGCCGCCTCACCAGTACCTAGAGCAGCAGTCTCAATGCCCGGATCGGGCGGGAAACACCGGTAACAGCCACCCTCATCACTAATAGACACAGCATACATGGCAGAAAGAATAGCATCAAAATCAAGATCATAGATGGCAACACCCGCCCTAGACAGCTCGCCCCAGCGAGGGATCTCTATGGCCTCCGGGAACTGGTGACGCCACGCGTCCGTCAGGCGGCCAAAGCAGCGCTGAGTGGGGTGTGCACCCCCACACTCCTCACCCGCACGGTCGCCGGTGCGCAGGACGTAGGTGCACGGACCAAAACCCCCACCCCGCTGGCGTGCATTGTACCACTCACGGAGCTGCTGAGGGGACAGGGTCTAACGACCGCGCTGCTGCTGCTGGCGCGGACCACCACTGGAGCCACTCCTCTGCGTAGACCCGCGACCAGCTCCACCGCCACCCCCGCTGCCTCCGCCGCCTCCGCCGCCGCCGCTACTACCGCCGCCTCCGCCGCCTCCTCCACCACCGCCACCTCCGCCACCTCCGCTCCCACCGCCACCGCCGCCGCCGCCTCCGCCTCCACTGCCGCCACTGACACCCCCACCCCCACCACCACTCCCACCGCCACCCCCACTCCCCCCGCCGCCTCCACCTCCACCTCCACCGCCCCCGCTCGCCCCTCCAGTGCCCCTGGCCCCCTTGCCCTTGCCAGAGCGACGTCTCCCGCTAGGGGCAGACGCCGCACCGACCGACTCAAGACCAAGGAGGTCGGACGCAGTAGAAGAGGCAACAGAGGGCAGAAGGGGGGAGGGGGAACACCCCTCAAAGATGGGGGTGCGTGGGTCACCACGAGAGGCCCCTACAGCGACTATGCTCTTCTCGACCGCTAGGAGGGACTTCTCGAGGAGGTCAACAGTGAGAGTGGTGGGACAGACTGAGAGGAAGTGGTCCCTGACTACGCGAAGGGAGTCAGGGAGGCGAGTGACTAAGTAGTAGAGAGTGATGTACATGGGGGGGGGTTCTTGGCGCAGAAGTCAGCAGGAAGTGCAGCGCGGTAGCGAGTGTCACTAGTGCGGAGGTGCGTAATGAGGTCAGCGACTGTGGGAAAGGCAGCAAGGTCAGGGAAGAGGTACGGTAGCATGAGGCGGCTCAGTGCAGCAGTGGCAGGGGAAGAGTAGCGCGCAACTACAGCGTCGTACAAGGTCTGAGCACTCTTGTACTGGCTAAAGTGCGCACGCTCAGTGGTAGGGAGGTGGCGACGCACAGCAAGACGTGCAGCAGCATCACGAGTGGCCCACTGTGAGCGAACGGTGGCGTCGGCATCGGCAGCAGGGGCAGGGGAAGCACCAGAGGTGAGGTCAAAGAGGGAGAGACCGTCTGCCCTATCGCACTGTAGGAAAAGCTGCAGGTCATCTACCCAGACGTCAAAGTCAATGGCCCGACCCTCTGCGTCAAAAGTGAGAACACTGGGGGTAGCCATGACAGCAGTAGACTAGCAGCGCTAACTGTAGAGTAGGGGCAGTGCGGTGACAGAGGCGCTGCGCTCACCAGACAGGGCGGTTCGGGCAGCTCGGGTGGCTCGGCAGCAACTGCAACTCGGCGGCACCCGCGGCTCGGCTTCTCAGCTGCTTAGGCGGCTCGGGCGGCTCGGGCGGCTCGGGCGGCTCGAGCGGCTCGGGCGGCTCGGGCGGCGTAGCGGCGCGGGCGGCTCGGCTGCGTAGGCGTTCGGGCGGGGCCGTAGGTAGAGCGGCGGGGCCGGGTCGAAGGTAGGGCGACGGGGCCGGTGCGAAGGTAAGGCGACGGGGCCGGGGCCGGGCCGTAGGTAGGGCGACGGGGCCGGGGCCGGGTCGTAGGTAGGGCGACGGGGCCGGGGCCAGGCCGTAGGTAGGGCGACGGGGCCGGGGCCGGGCCGCAAGTAGGGCGACGGGGCCGGGTTGAAGGTAGGGCGACGGGGCCGGGGCCGGGCCGTAGGTAGGGCGACGGGGCCGGGGCCGGGTCGTAGGTAGGGCGACGAGGCCGGGGCCGGGCCGTAGGTAGGGCGACGGGGCCGGGTCGAAGGTAGGGCGACGGGGCCGGTGCGCAGGTAGGGCGACGGGGCCGGGACCGGGTCGTAGGTAAGGCGACGGGGCCGGGTCGAAGGTAGGGCGACGGGGCCTGTGCGCAGGTAGGGCGACGGGGCCGGGGCCGAGCCGCAAGTAGGGCGACGAGGCCGGGGTCGCAAGGGGGCCGACGGGGCCGGGGTCGCAGGTAGGGCGACGGGGCCGGGGCGCAGGTAGGGCGACGGGGCTGGGGCGCAGGTAGGGCGACAGGGCCGAGGCGCAGGTAGGGCGACGGGGCCGGGGCGCATGTAGGGCGACGGGGCCAGGGCGCAGGTAGGGCGACGGGGCCGGGGCGCAGCTAGGAAAGGGGAGCGCGATTCGGGGTGCACGCGCTCCGGGCAGGAAAAAAATATTTCGAGTTGGTGGGCCCTAGGCACTGTTCCCACGAGGGAACCTGCTCGATACCATGAGAAGATTGAAACGAGAATGAATGAACTATGAATGAACTGAGTGTCAGATCATTATAGCTTATGCTTTTGTGTAGGCTATAGTGGGGCATCCCATAGGGGGTACAACCCAATTAGGGTTAGTACTTGTACCCACTTCACTCATAGTTCATTCATTCTCGTTCTCATTTTCACATGGAATCAGAGCAGGTCCCCTCCTAGGGACTGTTTCTTGGGCCCACCGAAGCGCGCCCCGAGGCGCGCGTTCTTTTTTTTTTTTTAGCGACCCGTAGTGTCGCCCTCCCCCCCCCTCCCAGCGGCCCGTCGCGTCGCCTTTCGGTCGCGGCCCCGCCGCCCTACTCTAGCGGCCCCGCCGCCCTACGTCGCGGCCCCGCCGCCCTACCCTTCGACGGCCCCGCCGCCCTACGTCGCGGCCTCGCCGCCCTACTTCGACGGCCCTGCCGCCCTACCCTACGTCGCGGCCCCGCCGCCCTACCCTTCGACGGCGCCGCCGCCCTACGTAACGGCCCCGCCGCCCTACCCTTCCACGGCGCCGCCGCCCTACGTAGCGGCCCAGCTGCCCTACCCTTCGATGGCCCCGCCGTCCTACGTTGCGGCCCCGCCGCCCTATGTTGACGGCCTCGCCGCCCTACGTTGCGGCCCCGCCGTCCTACCCTACATCGACGACCCCACCGCCCTACTCAGCGGCCCGCCAACCGCCCTACCTGCGGCCCACCCGCCGCCCGACCGCCGGGTCGCCCAGCCGCTAAGCCGCCGAGCCGCCCAGCAGCCGACCGCCGAGCCGCCGAGCAGCCGAGCAGCCGAGCCGCAGAGCAGCCGAGCCGCCCCGCAGCCGAGCCGCCGAGCAGCCGAGCCGCCCCGCAGCCGAGCCGCCCAGCAGCCGAGCCGCCCCGCAGCCGAGCCGCCGGCCGCTGAGCTGCCCTACTTCCATACGGCCCGTTCTACCCAGCCTGGTGAGCACAGAGCCTTCTTTTTCACTGCGCTGCCCTCACCCTACTGCCTGCACTGCTAGGCGTCTGTCGTCATGGCTAACCCCAGTGTCCTCGCTTTTGATGCTAAGGGTCGGGCCATTGACTTTGAGGTCTGGGTAGATGACCTCTAGCTGTTCTTACAGTGCGATAGGGCAGACGGCCTCTCTCTCTTTGACCTTACCTCTGGCGCTTCCCCTGCCCCTGCTGCTGATACTGACCCTACTGTTTGCTCCCAGTGGGCTACGCGCGATGCTGCTGCATGTCTTGTTGTGCGTCGCCACCTCCCTACCTCTGAGCGTGCGCACTTTAGTCAGTACAAGAGTGCTCAGACCTTGTACGACGCTGTAGTTGCGCGCTACTCCTCCCCTGCCACTGCTGCACTGAACCGCCTCATGCTACCCTACCTCTTCCCTGACCTTGCCGCCTTTCCCACAGTCGCTGATCTCATTACGCATCTCCGCACTAGTGACACCCGCTACCGCGCTGCGCTTCCTGCTGACTTCTGCGCCAAGAACCCCCCCCCCATGTACATCACTCTCTACTTTCTAGTCACCCGCCTCCCCGACTCCCTTCGTGTAGTCCGGGACCACTTCCTCGCGGTCAGTCCCACCACTCTTACAGTCGACAGCCTAGAGAAGGCCCTCCTAGCGGCGGAGAAGAGCATCGTCGCTGTAGGAGCCTCTCGAGGTGACCCCCGCGCCCCCATCTTTGAGGGGTGTTCTCCTTCCCCTCTCTTGCCCTCTGTCGCCTCTGCCGCTGCGGCCGACCTCGTTGGTCGTGAGTCGGTCGGTGCGGCGTCTGCCCCTAGCGGGAGACGTCGCCCTAGCAAGGGCAAGGGGGGCAAGGGAGCGGGTGGGGCTAGCGGGGGCGGTGGCGGTGGAGGTGGAGGCGGCGGAGGGAGTGGGGGTGGCGGTGGAGAAGGTGGCGGGGGTGGGGGTGCTAGTGGCAGCAGTGGTGGCGGAGGCGGCGTCGGCGGCGGCGGTACCGGCGGGGGTGGCGGCGGTGGCGGAGGTGGAGGAGGTGGAGGAGGAGGTGGTGGAGGTGGTCGAAGTGGCACTTCACAGCGGAGCGGCACTGGGGGTGGTCAGCGCCAGCAGCAGCAGCAGCAGCAGCGTTCTCGCGACGTCCCCACCCCTCAGCAGCTCCGTGAGTGGTACACGCAGCGTCAGCGTGGTGGGGGACTTGGTCCCTGCACCTACGTCCTTCGCACCGGCGACCGCGCGGGTGAGCAGTGTGGGGGTGCCCACCCCACCCAGCGCTGTTTTGGCCGCCTGACGGACGCTTGGCGTCAGCAGTTTCCGGAGGCCACGGAGATCCCCCGCTGGGGAGAGCAGTCTAGGGCTGGCGTGGCTATCTTTGATCTTGACTTTGATGCTATCCTTGCTGCCATGTATGCTGTGACTATTAGTGATGAGGGTAACTGTTACCGGTGTTTCCCGCCCGACCCGGGCATTGGTACTGCTGCGCTAGGTGCTTGTGAGGCTACTGCTCTAGGTGCCAGTGCGTCTGCGCTCTCAGGTGCTAGTGAGGCTGCGCTCTCAGGTACTAGTGAGGCTGCGCTCTCAGGTACTGCGTCAGCTTCGGCCTCCCTCACCTTCACACTTGACTCAGGGGCTTCTCGCTCCTTCTTTCGAGACCGCACCACACTCACGCCGCTTGGTCGGCCGGTTGCAGTCTCCCTGGCTGACCCCTCTGGGGGTCCTGTCCTCGCTCACTTCTCCACTGTCCTCCCGTGTCCGGCTGCCCCCTCGGGCGCCCTGTCGGGTCTGTACCTCCCCTCGTTCTCGACGAACTTGGTGAGTGGTGCTGACCTGCAGGATGCCTCTGCGCGAGGGACCCACTGCTCGGACGCCCGCACAGGCCGAC